ATCAGGAGATCTTAAAATCCCGATGACGCCCCCACACGTAAAATGACCACTAACCTTAAGAAAATGCGCTCTCGCTACAAGAATGCTAAGCATGTGCACTTCATAATTCGTATGAACGAAATACTAGTTCACTGGAGAAACCCACAGTCCTGTACATACTTTAGTTGAGCGCACTGCGCTGGATAGGGCGAATAAGCCTAAGTCACTTGTTCGACTTAAGAAGCATAGCAGTGGCCGCAACAACATGACGATTACTTCACTCGTGCTTCCCGATAATAGGGTTATCACTGACGCAACAGAGCTGTGCGATTTCATTAACGTACATTTCTGTGATGCGTTCATCTGCATTAATTTATTAGTGCTAACTACGCTTTCAAAGTTTCCCAACGCTCGCATTCACACCATTGATTTCAACTTGAACAATATGAATCGAGCTCTACCCTCACTGAAGATGTCACACAACCCCGATCTCGACGGAGTCCCATCTTCCTTATTATTACTCGGAAGCCCGGATATTCCAATCCTTCTTCTTAGCGCTTTCACCCTCTCTATGACGAGCGGAAACTACCCAACCATATGGAAGCACTCGAGAATCGTTCGACATCACAAACGAGCCTGTCGCCAAAATATCGACAACCATCGTCCTATAAGCTACACACCCTTTGCGTCCAGAGTCATGAAAAGGATAGTCAAGCTGGTGATGCTTCATTTCCTACTGCAGCGCAACCTCATCAAATACGTCTCAACAAGGGTGTCTACCGGTTAAATACTGCCAAACATGCCAATTTGAATTCTTGAACTACGTGCCGCACTCCATTGACACGGAGAAAACGTTATGTATTATCTTCCTGGACACGAAAAGGCGTTTGACCGGGTTCCACACAATGAATTACTGACGAAACTAGCTGCATGCGGTGTCTAGCGATTTTCTTTCTTGGTTTGCTTCTAGCCGTTCTAGCCGAACGCAGTCAGTAAACCTAGGAGATTTGTCTTCCAAAACGGCACCGACAACTAGGGAAGTATTTTAAAGTAGTCGCTTGGCCCTCTGCTGTTTCTGTTATACATTAATGACGTCCTCCAGCTCTTTAGGTACGGCACTCCATACATATTTTCCGATGATATCAAAGTTTTACTTTCATTCGACCCCAGCTGCATACAAAATAGCCTCTCAAACATTCAGTACGATCTTTGCGCTCTGGAAAATTAATGCGATATTTAGAGATTAGAATCCTCACCAAGGTAGTGCAATGTTCTCTCTTACCGTTTACACCATACCACCCAGCTCCGTAAGTCTCAATGGCACATCATTAAGTGACAGCTCCACTGTGCGCGATCTCGGTGTGCATTAATCTAGCTCGCTAACTTTTTCCGAACAAGCAAGCTATAACTTTGCCAAAGCTAGCTCTATTAATGAGTATATAATGAAGTCAGTGAGCCTGACTGTGTCTCGGCTCACGCTTTACAAAGTGTGCCCGACGGAGTTTAGAGTACTGCTCGATTGTTATCTCCAACTCACGTAAGAGTGATAGGATGAGGATCGAGGATGTCCAGCGGTCTTTCGTTAAGCGTCTTCTTGGCCCATCTAAGCTCAACTATCAAGGATATTGTAAACTGTTGGACCTAGAGCCTCTCTGGCCGCGCAGGCTTAAAGCCAATCTCGTATTTCTATATAAACTTCTCAACACATCTGAATCAAGCATAGGCGAATTTTTTCCACCGATGAGTGATACACGTTACCCCATTCGCAAAAGCCCCACTCATTCACTCTCCCTAAGACATGTGGCAACATTCGTTAAAACCTTTCTCTGTAGACATGCGCACGTATGGAACAAGCTACCAGAAATTGTCCGAGCCTCAGAAACTGCAGTGGCATTCTCCTCGGCCATAAAACGATTACTGTGTCCCCAAAGTGGCGGAAATTCTGGACAGCTGCATTACCGAAGACGAGTTCTGGCAACAAGGCCCTGATCACATATAGACATGTATCCACTCAACCACCGCATACTACATATCCCAGTATTAAAGCATCAGCGTTTCAAGCCTATTAGTTCCATTCTCTAGATATATTCGTTCGCATGCGTCTTCAAATTTCAGTCGCATGGTTTCGCTTCCCAGTTGTTTTTCGCACTTGTTTCACCGTCCTGCACTTGTATAAACTTGGCTCCGTTCGTTATCATTCTGACCCTTCCTGGAACACTGACAGCAAATGAACGACACAGCCTCCTTATCCTTTCAACAGCGATTTACCTTCCTATTTTGACGTTAGTGTATCGACTACAGCCTTACTTTCATTGCCCTGTGCACGTAATACGCCACTGCCTCTTTGATCATTCTTCCTTACCACCGATTCCCATGTTCTCTCGAATTACCTGCCTAACGGAATGGGGCATTGCTGCCCAAATCTATATACACTCTTCACTCTCCTTATCTACTGCACCACTGACATCTCTGTAAACTTACCCAAATGGCTCAGACTACGACTTGACATAGGCTTCCTTCGCATTCGTCAGTCCTGTGAGCCTGTTATTCCTTACCTCACCTCATCCCGAACTCTTGCTAATCTGATATCATTCCATACTTTTATTCCCACCTTAAGTTGGCGGCATAGCATCAAGGCGCTGAGGTTTCTGGTCTCCTCTGAACGGTCTCCTGCTTCCTGACCTCTCCCAGACTTCTGAGATCTAGCCTCTAATCACCCAACGCTTTGTAACCCTTACGTCAAGAGCATTGCCAGTCTTGACTCATCCTTATTATTATCTCTCCTTTCATCTTTCACGTATGTATTTCTGCCGACGTTCTCTGTTAGTATTCCGACCTAAATACTACGGTTTAAACTCAATGGTCTCCCGCTTTCCGACCACCGAGACTTTACCAATGTAGGATCGGCAGACCCAACGGTCTGTTCACATCACTTCGAGCACGTCTATGGTTTTTTCACTTCTCCTCAATAGTAGGGTTTTCCTTCCCATCCCTATGCTTTATTTTCCGCGCAGTCAGTTTGCATCCCTTCTTCAACTGGAAGGACAAACCTTCAGGTCCGGACCAAAGCTATCCTCGTCTGATCAGTCTCCTGCTTTCAGACTGCTTCCAGACATCCGACACGTAAACCTTCTAGAAGCTGCAGACCCAACAATCGGTTCCACTCATCCTGAGAGCTTACCTCGGCATGCTAACTACCTTCCCGTATGTCTGAACTGTTCCCGGTATCTTTTGGCTTTCACCGACTTCAAACCTCTGTCGGCACATTGACTATTCTTTCACAGTATCGTCCCCACGTCCTATTCGAGTACCAGATGAATAATCATGTGCTCTCTCTAGTACGACTGGCTCCGCATTTCGACTTGATGTACGCTTCTCACATCTCTCCGTCTTCTTAACCTTTTTATTACTTTCCACTCTTCTAACACCATTCACCGGACAACGTTCACCATCTATCCTCTTAAGGTGGCATTTATTGAAGACCCACCACTAACTTTACCCGGTATAGCCACAAAGGTAAATTCACCTGTGGCTGCATATTCCGTATCTTAGACCCCACTGTTACCCTTGACTCTCCGAATACCCATCATCAATCTCAGGCAACTAACCGACGCGGTAGACTGCTCAAACGTCCGATCCGCTTTTCGGATTTTGTCAACGTTTGCTATTTTTTGACATGTGTATTTGCCACCTTTCATTGTAAGTGTGTGTTTAATTCAAAAATGTTTTGCTAAACGACAAAAGCAAACCTAAAACTTTTCTTTACAAAATAAGTGTACACATTTTGTTTCGTATACTTGTCTCATTATCGCTACGACATCATGCCGCCTATCCCGACCACCTCCCACCCTCCTCGAGTTTTACATTCCAGTACCCAAGTCCCCTGAGAAACCGCGAAATGTCATGGCTTAGCTGTTCAAATCCTCCGGCCCCATAATTCTGGCTCTAGGCGACCGCGCCTCCTCACTATCAGTGCAACAACGACTGCTCAGGTCCGCGAGTTCTGAGAAATGGTTCCGCAAAGTGGCTTCAGGGATTCTTCTTGGGACGAGGATCGTTACGGCCGTAGACTTCATGGGTGGGGGGAGTACCACTTCCCAAGTGCACCGTCGGGCCACAGCGAAGAAAATGTCTTGTCGGCCCTCTTTCTGGACTAGCCAGTTGTTTTGCAGTCCGACGAACCCGCCCCGACGGCCCACCGATAATGCGCTCCGGTCCACATCCAAATAATAAGTGGGAAGGAATATCGAATCCAGCGATCTCCCTTTCTATATGTATGCCCTTCTATCCGTAGTCGACCCCCCCATTCTCCACATCGTCCCTCCACCTAACATTTATCGAAGGCTTCCCTCCATCAAACTTCTAGGAAGAGACCCCAGTAGTGAACGCGAAACCTTTATGCTTTCAGTGTTTTGTGACATTGGATTTTATTCTTTCTTGTATCTTCCGATCTTCCATTTGTTTTACTGACTGGTTCACTTTAGTTTCCTGTGAGTCATGCTCTTCATGGTTTCATGTTTCGCTCGTTGACTTTCATTTCTTTATAGCCCGCACAATGCACTTTGGTCACCTGTTCCAGTGTTCCAAATAATTTCGAATACACTTTGGGTTCGGCAACATTTCATTACCCGGTATCCGTGGTTTGTCTTACTGGCAATTGTTACTACCGGTTACTGAGTTTGGCACTACACGACTGTTACCATGTTACTGATGATGGTGTGCATTTACTTCTACGAATGGCACACTTCCTTGGGCATTCTCAACTCTGCTTGACGATGAGCGGACAACCTAGTCCACTTTGGAGAACCACAATTATGATAAATCATTAAGTTGGAAACCGACTCTATTCCATTACACACATCAGCGCTTCATCAGGGTGTCATATCACACTAGCGCTAACTAAAACGTCTAGGTTAAACTGAGTACTAGCAATATCGGATATGATTCATGTTTTGTTTTGACTCTTCGGAATGGCGTAGTATCAGGAAAAGTTGACTCACACAGTTAACAGCAAGCAACCTGTTATTTCATGTTTCCCTGGAAACCATGGAAAATTAAACTACGTAATTCACCTTTAGACAGATAGCACTGCGGAATCAAAACGCAACATTTGCACCGCAGGAATCGTATTTATCCAAAATATACAATGCTTGCATGGTTGCTCAGCTGGTGTACTTATTCTACATTTAAGTAGTACAAAATGAACATAAGTGTTCATCTGACGATAATATCACAGACATGAGGTAGGCGAGTATCCGGATTGTTACAAATGAGTCACTGTTGCGGATGTCTCAGTATTTTCGGGGGTCCGTTTTAATAGGTTTTGGGGGTCTCTGTTTCCTTCTGCCATCATTACCAAGTTCTGACCGTAGGGCGACACGAGGATTTACCTTTGAGGCAGGCTGATAGTTAACTGTTGAGCTTTTTGCTAAAGGGAACCGAAATGTACAGTTTGACACGGGGTTTAGATTGTGTGAACAACAGTATTATTGCCATTATCGTTACTTTGTGCACTGCAACTTATAACCACAGACTATAACAGCAGCCAACAGGTAGAAATCAAATGACGAGTTTCTGCGATGTAAGAAAGTGCGAATTGGGATGAGTTAGTGTAAAAATGCATGTGGAATCATTTCCAAACAACATAAAAATACTCCTGCTGTTCTCCGGCCGGTATGTTACCATCTTTCCGCGCATTTGAGCCATCACCGATACGCACTTTAGCGCATATAGGGAAGATCAGCGTCCATAACGCTTGTCCGGCTAGCCAATTTGCAAATTTATGTTGGATAGAGAAACTGCTAGCACGCCTGTGCCTGCGTTTGGGGGCACACAATCGTGTGCGAAGCCATGGATTTTGTTCTACCCCTTGCTGGCATGCATGGCTTTCATCGAGAGAGGTGCACAGTGAGACCATATTAGCCAGTCGAAGAATCGATAGCTCCGGTCCTGCGCGGTAGACTAATCTTATTTGGCAGTGAATGTCCAAAAAATTGAGTGAGTGTAGTGAACTCTGCTGGACGCGTTAGTATGTTTGCATGCGTGCAACTGCTACCGGAAATCCGACGGCCAGCTGAGAGTCCATGCACCAGGGGTAGACCAACGGATGATCGGTAGGATCTGGTCTGTGTTGCCCATAAAATTTCATGGTACGCCGACGTAAACGGTAGCATTCTTGGTCGCAGTCTCAAAGATGAAAAGCAAGCTTAACTTACCGTCGGTGGGGTTAGCGCAACCAAAATCCCATTGCCTGCCTTATCAGCGTACTCTTATTATTCGTCTGTATGGCGAGTGTGGGTTAAATGCAGCAGCGACAGCACGAAAATACAACAATCTCAGCCCTGGGATGCGGTCCGTCAACGGCTGTTACGTTCGGGAATTGATGAAAAAGTTTCACAAAATTGGTAGTGTGTGCAACGTCAAAAAATCCGGGCGGCCTCGCACCAGTAAGGATGATTTAGCATCATGCACTGTTGTACGCGAAGTATCTGAAGACCACGAGCTCAGCATACGTAGAATCGCGCAGCATTGCGTCACAATGCGGTACGCTGTTCAGCAGCTATTAAAGGAAAAAATTTTCAGTGGTTGCTGACACTTCAGGTGCAGGTACTGTCCAGTTAATCCAGCCCAAACCATGAGCTGAATACGTGACCCAGTGTATAGGCGGGGAGTAGATCTAGCCCAGCAAGGTTGTTTGTCGGTTCTATACAAATGGAAAACCAATTCAGCAATGAAAATAATGGAGTGAATACTCATGTGATCCAGAAACCAACGGTAAAATGCACTCGGTTTAGCTGGATCGCTTGGGTTCAGTACCTGCACCTGAAGTTGGAACCTTTTTCTTTTCCAGCAACTTGACCGGTAAGTTGTTTTACGTTAATTAGTGCTTACTTTCGTAGCATTGTCCTACTAGGAAATGCTCCACACCTGTGTACTTCCACAGTTGGATGCAGACGGAGTGTCCCGTACCATTTTGTGGCAACTTGATGGTGCACCAGCACATTATGTGCTCAATCTGTGCGGAAGCATCTCAGCGGAAAATTCGGCCAACGTTGGATCGTTGGCGGAAGATCAGTTGAGTGGCCTGCACGATCACCCGATTTAAACCCTCTGAACTTTTTTCTCTATGGGGCTATTTGAAACAAAGAGTGCACAAGAACAGACCGAATTCCCTTACGCAACTGAAACACAACATTATGCAAGAGTGCCAGACGATCATCAGCGAGACGTTGCTGAAGGTGCTTGCAAATTGCATTAAGCGATTTCTGTACTGCAAGCAGAATAATGGTGGACACTTTCAACCTTTCATGTGATGATGTATATACCAGAGTAACGTTGCTTATGTTAATAGAGATATCTTCGATTACACATGAATTACAGGCTAAATCGGTCCACAGGTGATTCGTGCCAACGGTGGGTCCAGGCAAACATTATTCTAGGAGAAGTGACTGCTTCTGAAGCGCTCTGCGGCCTCCGAACGCTGTGACAAGTGGGTATGCCATGTTTCATTGTTCGAATGCTGTAAACTTACGTGCGTAGGGGCATATTCTCACAGGAGGTTTATAAACAAGCAGCGATTCCATGAAGAGCATTTTATGCGCCGCTCCTCATGGTAATGCTTACTAAACCGAGGATGATGTAGTCGAAGTTTAGGTAGTGTGCAACTTACCGATCCTTGTCAATGCGGCTAGCCTCCGTATGTTTTGGGATCAAGTAACCTATATGATAAGGCTTTCATCCCAACAGTTCACAAGCTACATAGCAGAGCCTAGTCCGGAAAAGCGCCAGACGCGTTTCGCCCTATTGGGGCTCGTCAGTGGCGCGCATTCCCTCGGTCATCTAAGGAGGATCGAACCCATGACCACTAGAGGCAGATGCCAACTAGCCAGCAGCTTAGGCCACTGAGCCATGGGGGACGTTGGCTCGGCTACATAATTTGCAAACTAGCTGGGATATAGCACCACCCATCTACCATTGTCACTGACAGCGGTTAGCCTGCGAGGTGATGACGTCCTCTCACTAGACGCTAAATCCATAGCGTTTTGAAACTAGGAGAGGCTTTTGATTTTATAGCCTTATCAGAGTTACAACTAAAATCCTGCTACTTATGAGTACTATAACCTATATGAGCGTACGTACAACCGTTAGAACAATGAATGAGGTAGATACGGGAGGCATTATCACTTTTCGAAAAACGTCTTGACGATACTCCGTCACATTTACACTACGTGCTATAGCCCGGATGCTGGCACTAATGCACCACAGACAGGAGATAGGGCCATAACCATACTCGAGAATGAGTCACTCCAAACCCCTTGCACAAAATTTGATATACGCTACTATTATAGAAACTGGATTTCTGTATCCTGTCCACCCAAGATAGTTGCACACGAGTAAGTGTTGTACTTGCTATCTATTTTATTTTTTTCTTACCGATTATGTGATCAATAACCACTTCCCTTATTGCTTTGTGTGCGTACATTCTCATTCCAAACGCCCTTTATACGACAGGGCAGTTAAATCTGTAATAGCCCGAACTGACGACTCCATCATCCCTTGATCTCTCTTTTTTCACGCTAAACACCCTACGGGACATGTCAAGCACATGCTGTTTTTTACCTGTTATAAATCATTGTTCACTAACTGTACAGTCTGGCTTGTCCACGTAGGATTTACAGAATAACCTTTTAACTCGGCCGCATAATCGCATTTCTTAATAGACGAAGACGAAGACAATGTCAAAATCTCCTATCTTTCTGGTCCCCTTTGAACGGCAGCGGGATGAATACTTTTTTCCTAGGGACGTCGGCCTTACTTCTCTCGATTGCTGCTTCACTTGAGTTGCGCTTGATGAACCTCTCGGGATACCCGTTCTCTCGTGGTGTTGCTAAGGTGTGCTTTCAGCTCATTGTCAATTGTTCCTTTGGAGCATATCTTGCGAGCTTAGGCGCAAAATTGTGCGTACGAGAGCTCGTTTGTAGTTGATGAGACAGAAACTGTTAAACTTGAGATACTGTCCCGTCCAAGTAGGCTTACGAGTGAGCATACCATCCGGATTTCTTTTCAGATTCACATCCAGAAAACGGAAAGTGTCATCTGTTTCGTTTACCATTGTAAATTTGATCGCAGGATGGCATTGTTCAGAGCATCAAATAAATTTGCTGCTTGCCGGGCGCCATCAACTACAACAGTGGTATCATCCTGGTATCTGCTGTACATATGCACATTTTGTATAAAAGGAAGCAGTTTGATGTTTTCCAAGTGGCACACGAAAATATCAGCTAGGACTGGTCCAAGTAAGCTGCCCTTGGCCACGCCGTCTATTTGTCGGTCCATTAACCCATTGAATTGGAACTGTATAGTTTTCGTGCACAGGCGGTTTGTGTCGCAATGCTTACAACGCCAAATAATTGATTCTAGCTCCTTGTGACTAAGGACACAAGTAGAAGCAGCATTTTGTGAGAATACTAACGAAAGGATTTTAGAGAAATAAAATTTTCCTTAGGAACATCAACTCTGCACTCTTACGTGTTGTTTCAATCCGGATCAACTTTATGAGAGGGTGTGTACGATGTCTGGCTAAGGCCAGAATCAGTTGACGCAACTCATCCAAAAATCTTCTTGGATTAGAGACAAAAATATAATATTCTTGAGATTACGAATGTACTTAGTATAAGCACAGCACGGAGGTCGCTGCACCTCCACCGTCGACTGTCGTAGATTTTTGGACAATGAAAAATGAACAATGAATTTATACGGGTTAAGAAGCGTTGCTTTACAAGCCCCGTTGGATAGTTGGTGGGGATATCAACATAACAGTTATGATGAAAAGGATAGTAAAATAGTAAATACTTTAAATACGAAAATAAGGACTTATCGTTTGCTACGCTGCAGTCCTGCGATCCACTTAGATTCACAACACCCACAGTTAACAACGAATAATTCCAGGGTAAACTCCGGGTGTAGGATGGAGACGTAGTGTTAAGTAACAAAGTGTAAGTGGATGAGTGCATCGTCCAACCGTCTTTTAAATATTGTTAGTGTCGATGCAGAGATGACCGATTCTGGGAGAGCATTCCACGGGTGACAGACATGAATGGAAAAGAAATTTCTGCGGCACTCCAGACGACTGTATTGTTTGCGAGTTTTAATGAGTGGCCCCTCAGGTTTGTATTGCTGCTGAGTTGCAGTAAAGGGCGGCACACATGATGTGGGTCCCGCAGAATCAAGCATGTCATAATCAGGTCGCCTCGTAGCCTGCGATAGCTTCCACTGAACAATCCTAGTCGTCGCAGCCTCTCCTGGTAGGACCGATTGTGCATTCCAATTACGTCCTTAAATACCCGGCCTTGTGGCTGCTCCAGTGCATTAACGTCATGTTTCAGCCATGGATGCCAGACTTGAATTGTGTATTCCACATGGGGGCGA